AAGACAAAGACCATTAAAATCTACATACCCCACCCAAACTCTAAAACAGGACATAATACGATTAACCCACCACCAATACCAAAAGGGCATACTCAGACTCAGGTCAAAGTACATGACACAGGAAATATAAAGCCTCAAACAGGAACAGGAAACAACCTCAAGAACCCCAGAAGGTATAAAAGCCCACCACTCTGCTCCGTGTGGTCACTTTTTTCCAGAGCCATCTTTCTGCCTGGCTCTCCTCTTCAATAAACTACAACCTTCTTTCTAAAGGAGTCTCCATGTTGTTTATTCCCGGCTTGGACTGGACCATGATGAAGATTTTTCTTTCAACAGTGGAAAAAGGTCCTCATCAATAGAATTATAGATTTGGCTATGAAGACCAATAAAATGAATATAAATGGTCATTCTCCAACAAGTACAATGTACTGAAAATCCAGACAAGCAAACCCTGATTGCAACTAAAGAACCTACAACCCAAAAAACAACAGAAGTGGAAGAAAGTAAGACCAAGATGGAGGGAGCGAAAGATCAAAAAGTACAGCTTACTGAAAACCTAGGCAACCAAACAACCACCATAAAACTAGACATGACCTTCTACTTTAACCAGAAGAAACCTGAGGAAGAAGACCAGATTGAATTGAAGATGAATATACTAGAGCGAATATGGGGATCTGAGCCACCAGGGCGACAACTTAACAACTACAAATGTGCCAGTTCCTCTGGAAAATTGGTGACTAGATGGTCTCCCTTGATTCAAGTAACATGCACAAGAATGAAGGGAGATTATCTGATGATCTAAAGGCATTGGTATGGAAGCCTGGCTGGCATAAAAAGAAAGCTAGAGTTAGATTTAAAAAATGGGGTCTTTTGACCTATTATAGAGGATCTTAAAGTCTTAACTAATGGGCTAAAGGGAGATTTTAAGATGAAGGGAATTAAGATTATTGGACCTAACTACTGTTGGAAAATGATAAAAAAACAAGGGATTAATTGGCTTAATATTGAAGATTTAGATTTATAAGGGAAATGAAAATTAACTTTTAGGAAATAGCTTCGAACTACTGTTTAGCCCAGAGAATACAGATGATGGATTTGAGACAATAAAGGATACTCCATTAGTAAGTGGTGATGTATTAAGATAAGAAATAGAAAATGTTTAAAGAATATATCTAAGTAAGTAATATGTGTATTTTAGATATTATAATTTTTATGTAGTGAAATAAAGGAAATTTGGGTTGCCCCAAATTTAAATACTATGGACATTAAAGGTTAAATTGGAATATTGTAATTAAAATTAAGGTAAAATTTAAAGCAGGACATGGATATGTATAAGCGAAAAATATATTGATAAATGTATTAACTGAGCTTGTTATAAGCAGAAATTTACTAACTTAAATAGGACATAGCAATGTTAAGGGAAATAGAGAAGGGATTTTTGATGATGTAACCTAAAATATGTACTAAAGATTTTGTTATTGTACTATTGACTACCCAATCACCATGTTGCTTTCCAAATACTTAAATGTAAAACTGGAAAACCAATAAAAACTTGTTATAAAAAAAAAGTGTTTGAGTTCTCCAAAAGGAAGAATTGGAGAAAGGTGCAGAGAAGTCCTTAACACTGGGTCAAGGTTTAAAGCTATGAAGTCCTTAAGTGAATGTCAATCCAAGATAGAGTTGAAATAACTTGGGTGTTGACTTTAGATGCCATCTTTTTTCATGGATGGAGAAATGGTTACGTTCCTTATCCTGGGAAGCACAAAGACCATAGGCCAGGGGTGTCAAACTCAATTTTATTGAGGGATGCATCAGCATTGCGGTTGCCCTCGGGGGGCCGGCTGGGTGCAGCCTACTGAGTGAGTGTGGATGGAGTAGGTGTGGCCTACTGGGTGGGCGTGGCCAGCTCTACATCGTTCGCGTCAAGGGTGCCTGTGGGGGCTGGGCAGAAGTGGGACAGATCTGAGGGTCTTTGGCAGAAGAGGGTGGGACCGGGGCAAGCGCCAAGGCATGGTCCACTGGAGGAGCCTCACTGCCTGCCAAAACCCCTCCCCTATAGCCCATCAAGCCGGATATGTGAAGTAGGCGAGGGCCATTTTCTGGCCACTTCCAGGCGATGGTGCATTTCTTCATTCCTCACAAAGGGTGACACCTCCCCAGCATGCACCCAGGGGGCAGGGCCGATGCGGCAGGGGCTGATTCCTCATTGTTTCTGGATGGCCTTGTGCAGCTAAGACTGAAAGTGTTTCAGCATAGATGGCCACCACAAATGGCCCCCGGCTGGCCTGGGCCAGGGCCAAGGCAGCGGGGGCCGTTCCCTCACTGTTTCGAGGATGGCTTCACGGGCCATATGAAACCACTTTGCGGGCCACATCTGGCCCCCGGGCCTTGTGTTTGACATATCTGCCATAGGCGATTGGATTGATGCACACAAGCATCTTTGCTTATCACAAACAGGGCAATAATGCATTAGTTTCTATGTTAACCAGGCCAGACAAAAATCTGGTCAATTTGCTAAATGTAGGGGTACATTGGCTCAGGGATTAAGATGCTGAGCTTCTCAGCTGGAGAGCCGACAACCCGGGTTCGAGACCTGATCTCCGCACAATGGGTTGAGCTCCCATAACTTGCCTCAGCTCCTGCCTACTTAGCAGTTTCAAAGCATGCAAGTGCAAATAGACAAATAAGTACCACTTTGGTGAGAAGGTAAGAGCATTCTGTGCACCTTTGGCATGTAGCCATGCTGGTCACATGATCAAGAAAATTGTTGTCAGACAAGGTTGACTCCCCCGGTCAAATCCTTTAGAATTTAGAATAACAAGAGTTGGAAGAGACTTTGTAGGTCATCTAGTCCAACCCCCTACTCAGGCAAGAAACCCTATACCATTTCAGACAAATGGCTGTCCAGTCTCTTCTTAAAAACTTCCAGTGTTGGAGCATTCACCACTTCTGAAGGCAGGTTGTTCCACTGGTTAATTGTTCTAACTGTCAGGAAGTTTCTCCTTATTTCTAGGTTGCTTCTCTCCTTGATCAGTTTCCATCTATTGCTTCTTGTCCTGTCTTCAGGCGCTTTGGAGAATAGCTTGACTCCCTCTTCTTTGTGGCAGCCCCTGAGATACTGGAACACTATCATGTCCCCCCTCATCCTTCTCTTCATTAAACTAGACATACCCAATTCCAGCAACCGTTCCTTATATGTTTTAGCCTCCGGTCCCATAATCCTCTTTGTTGCTTTTCTCTGCACTTTTTCTAGAGCAGTGATGGCAAACCTCTTAAAGACCGAGTGCCCAAACTGCAACCCAAAATCCACTTATGCATCGTTGGGTGCTGGGTGGGCGTGGCCCATTGGGTGGATGTGGCCGGTGGTAACGGCAGACTGGGTGGGACTAAAAAGTTCAATCAATCAATTCCAATTTTACAAGATCTTTTTTTTGCAAGAAGTTGAAATTGACTGATTGATTGAACCTTTTTTTTTTTTTGCATACGGTGGCGGAGGCCTAAAGCGAAAAGGTTTTATAAAATCCAGCTGAAGGTCTAGGACTGGGGCAATGGCACGTGTGCCCACAGAGAGGGCTCTGAGTGCCGCCTTTGGCAACCGTGCCATAAGTTCGCCACCACTGTTCTAGAGTCTCAACATCTTTTTTAGTGTGGAGAAAGAAATGGAGAGGAGCACTGTGTCGTAGACTCAGACACAACTGACAGGGAGACCATTACCTTTTGCTCAACATAAAGTCAAATAATTTTGTACAGTATTCCTTAGTGGCCCCCAGGCAGTTAACATTATAGCTCCCAAGGGACATAAAAATCCATTAAAACTCTGCCCATCCCCAGAAGAAGAAAAACCAAAATTCATTGCAAGATTAATCTTTATTAAGCCTCACCAAAATAACACAAACAGCTACGCAAGCTTTTGAGCTCACGACAACATTTCATCGGAGAAGATTTACTAAGAACAGGGGAGAAAGAGAACAAGGGAAAAATCCTCCAATGACATTTTAAAATTCCTGCAGGCTAAGCAGTGATTGTAAATGTGAAGTGTAAGCTGGGAACATCCATATTCTCCAAGCATCTGACTCAGTTCTAAAATTAATAACAGGTAAATTAGGGTTTAGCATCACCAAGTCTGACTTCCTGTGGAACAAACAAAATGCATTTTGGAACCGAATGAATCTCCAGGTTTTCAATTATAGGGTTCCAAAGGAAACAAAGTAAAATTTGCACCAACAAATCATGTCTAGAAATCATGTCCTCCTTCCATTATATATTCAAGATGGACAGTATTTAATATTTGTTAAGTATATGTAGGGGTGTGGGTCTATACATATATTGTATATAGTATGTTTTAGGTGTGTGTCATGTATGTGTTTTACTTTGAGAGCGGGCAACTAAATTTCATTTTTTATGTGTGCCATTCTGACCACAGTAAAAAAAAAAATGACAATAAAGGTCATCTTATCTTATCTTGCTTTGCCTTATCTTATATCTTCCAGTACAGGTAGTCCTTGAGTTACAACCATTCTGTTATGGTTCCGGCTAATTAAACACTTCAAAGAACTTCCAGGCATTTATTTTCCTAAAAGTCTTTTATTGTTACAAAATGTCGGCACAGGCATAACGGAGGGATGCTAAGATCTAAATTCTCTTCCTCTGAGCAGTTAAATTATCAGCATGTCCTCTCTCTAAATTATCCGTCATATCTCACATTATCCAATTAGTGTGAAGGTCAAATGTTTCCTTCTTCTTTCTTTCCTTACCCCCAATCCCCCTTCTGCTCTGTATTAACCCTATAAATACCAGACAGTTCTGCATATTGTCAAAAGCAAGAATATACAGTATTTGCAGCGTTGACACATTCATTTAGTGAATGTTTCAATGGCATTGAAAAAAGTGACTTATGACCGTTTTTCATATTTAAGACCATTGCAGCCATCCCCAGGGTCCTGTGATCAAAATTCAGACTCTTGGCAACTGACTCATATTTATGATGGTTGCACTGTCCTGGAGTCATGTGATCCCCTTTTGTGACCTTCTGACAAGCAAAGTCAATGGGGAAGCCATTGGTCTCTGTTTATATCTTAATGTCGTGCCCTGTCAGTGTTGGTGGACAGGTGTTCTTGGTGGTTCCTTGACTAGGCTGTTCTTTAATCTTTGATTGTTTGTCTGAAATTTAATCTTAGTGTTAATCTCGGTTTATCTGGGTGTTGATTGCTGGCAGAGAAGGTCTTTTGCTCTTTTGTTTGCTAAAGGGGAAAAAACCAGAACCTCACCAGCAATAATACCCAGATAAGCACAGATTAACACCAAGATCAATACTAGACCAACAATTGAGCAGTAAATGATCACCAACCTAATCAAGGAACCAGCAAGAACACTTCCATCAGCACTGACAGAGCAAGCCAATTGTATATAACAAGAGAGCAGACCCCACTCCCTTTTAGCACTGATGATGTTACCTAGTTGGGTAATGAAATGTCTGCACAAAAAAAACCACGTTCAGCACCAAGGATCCCACAGAACCGATATCCAAAATATGGTTTTAACTATCCAGTAAAATGTATCAGTGGAGGGATTCAAATATGGGAACCACCGGTTCTCTGTGTGGATGCCGCTTCCGGAAATCCATTCTGAGCCTGAGCAACAAAAAAATTAGCTACCAGTTCTGCCGAAGTGGTGCGAAGCGGCTGAATCCCACCATTGGAATGTATGATCAATGAATTAACTAATTGCCAATAAATCACAAGGCATAATGATGCGTATCCTAGTGGACAAAATAGAGCAATTTACAAAAAGAAAAAAAGCAATTGTGGGTCCTTGTAATTAAAAAAAGTATTGGAAAAAAAAACAGAATTGATCCACAGCATCGTCCCTCTGATCAGGGGAGCAGCCTTGCATCTGGGAACAAAATGAAGTGATAGTTAAATCAGAGGAAAAAAAAATGGGAAAAAGAGAAGAGATAAATCACCCCTTCCCCCAAGTTCTGCATGTAATGGAGTTTTAGCTTCCATAAAAACACTTCCAGAAGGGAATTGTGGTGTCAACATGTATGCTCATAGAAGTGATCCTTATGTGCTTGCTTCTGATTACTCTGATTACTCCATTGGGAGTGACAGAAAAGAATCAGAGTGCAAATCTGCTTTTGAAACAAGTTCAGAGTTTAGTTTTGCAATCCCAAAAATGGTGAGAGAACTACTCCGGAGAATCTGAGGCAGGCATAGGTGAGTCCTTGACTTACAACAGTTCATTTAGTCACCATTCATAGTTACAACAGCACTGAAAAAAATGTAACATGGCCATTTTTCACACTTCCACTGCAGCATCCCGAGGGTCATGTGATCAAGATTCAGATGCTTGGCAACTGGCACATATTTACAACGGTTCCAGTGTCCCGGGGTCATGTGAACGTCTTTTAAAACTCTTTGACAAGCAAAGTCAGTGTGAGAGGCAGAGTCACTTAATGACCAAGTTACTAACTTCACAATTGCAGTGACTCACTTAACAACAGTGGCAGGAAAGGTCATAAAATGGGACAAAACTCACTTTAACAAGTATCTCGCTTAGCACCAAAACTGTCAGGCTCAATTGCGGTCGTAAGTCAAGGACTACCTATATTATAATATTCTTTACCTCCAATTTATTCCCTTTTTAACACTCTGCTTTTAAGCTCTTGAGTGTCTAAGCAGCATTGGTGCAGTGGAGAAGCTACAACTTGGCCTGCTCTAGCTTGTGCAGAACAATTGCTAGGGTTAAATTGACTTGATTGCCTCTAGTTCTGTGAAACACCAATTTCTGCACTAGAGAAGTTTTGTCTGTCACAGCCTTGGTTAATCTTTAACCCTTTTCTTACATAGCTGATATGCTGGAGTTCTACTGATGTAATGGTATGTGTGAATGATCTTGGGATATTGGGGGGTGGGGGGGAGAGAAGAGCAGACAGAGCTGGGAGTGGCGGAGTTAAGTACATCATTAGTTTAGAATTCCTAAGTTGCCGCAAGTGCTCAAAGTCCAATCCCCTCTTGAATTCTGCTGACCCTTCTCTGGGGCTAATTTAGTCTTGAACTTTAATTGATCGGCTGCACCCTTATGAAGATCCTGATTCTTTGTGCCTGACACCTAGGGCTTTAGAGACATCCCTGGCCCAGATTGGCTGACATTGAAAGCCCAGAAGTTCTAGAAAAAAAAGAGAGCAGGAACAAAGAAAGGGTTGACCCACCATTCATGGTCTTCTGGAACCCGTCCCTTACTTTGACTCACATACACTCAAGATTTACCTCTTGTATTATCTCTGTGGCATCCTGTGGGAAGACATCTACCTGCAGGGCCAGGATCTCCAGGCTGACCACGAGCCCCAGGGAATCCAGAAGGACCAATATTACCTGGAGGTCCTTTGGAGCCTTGTGGGCCAATCACCATTTCTCCTGGAGGACCTAGGTGAGAGGAAAAGAAAAATAGAATTAATATTCTATCAGTCGAGGCTAATGATAAGCCTTGGCTTAAACCCTACAGAAATGGGAGAAATTGCTGTAAAGAAATGGCTGTGTCCTAATCTTATAAGACTCAGTTAAGGTGGCAACATCTAGTAGAGCTGGCCTTGTCCATTCTCCAAAATACAATGAGCAGATTGGACATCCTTAGTACTTGGATGTCACATCGCCAAGAAATCTGAGAGGGAACTAGGAAACTAAGCAGACAATACAAACGATGTATCTATGCAGCCTTCTTGGTAAGATACCTGTGGACTTCAATTCCCAGGATTCCCCAGCCAGCATAGGAATTTTGGGAGTTGAAGTCAGCAAGTTTTCAAGTTGTCAAGGTTAAATACCCCTGGTCTAGACATTAAGCATTAAACCACCCCTTCCCTGATGTGGAATGGGACAACTTGCCATGACCAGCTCACCATGGCCAACTCCCTGTGGCCAGCTCACCATGGACAACTCGCCACTGGACAATTCAACAATTTTATTAAATTATTTCAAATAATTTGAAAATTACTTTAATTTCTATCATTCACATTTCATTTTGTCCCTACTTTTGCATCTTTTCTTTAATGACTCTATTCCACAATTTCTTCAACGGTAGGTAAGTTTTGTACCCCTGCGAGTTAGCCACAGCAAGTTGGCTATGGTGAGCTGGCCATGGCAAGTTGGCTGCAGTAGGTTGGCTATGGCGAGTTGTCCTAGACCAGGGGTAGGCAACCTTAGCTCTTTTATGACTCGTGGACTTCAACTCCCAGAATTCCTGAGCCAGCCTGGCTCAGCATGGAAACCTCTCCCTTTCCCCTCAGCGTGGCTGGCTCAGGAATTCTGGGAGTTGAAGTCCATGAGTCATAAAAGAGCCAAGGTGGCCTACCCCTGGCCTAGACTCTCCCTGATGACCTCTAGCTTCAACATACACACATTCAGGGAAGAGGAACCCATCATCCCTCAAGACCAGTGGTTCTCAATCTGTGGGTCGGGACCCCATTTGGGGTTGAACGACCATTTCATGGGGGTCGCCAAACTACGCAGTCCGCCATTTCCCCCCCCCCCCTTTTCCTTAGCTGTGCTACTCCCTTTTATTCTATTGGCTTTTGAAAGCCAATAGAATAGACTCTCTTGAATAGAGTCTAATTCTATTGGCTTTCAAAAGCCAATAGGAATTGTCCAGGCTGTCTCTGCCCAGCTGAGCCCGCCAAAAGTCCCATTCTGCAAACGGTGCTGCACCAGTTGAGTAGTCCTCGACTTACGACCGGTTGAGTAGTCCTCGACTTACGACCGGTTGGGGTCGCGGCATTAAAAAGGTTGAGAACCACTGCTCAAGATAATGGGTTCTGCAGTTGCACTGAACCGAGGTTTAGGACAGTTTGCATAATTTTCAATGGGACCCTCTGTACTAGGAACATTGTTTTGTGTCCTGCAATCTGGAATAACAAAGAACGGTTCAACTTTGATGTGATATGATGTCTGCATGGCAGAGAGATGCAACGTCGTTCTTCAAAAATATATGTTTTTGAGAGTAGAGATCCTTACTCCTGATTTTTTTTTCTCTTCACGCCAGTGATGAATAACATACCTGCTTGACCTCTTGGTCCTTCAGAAGCTTCCATCCTTTGTCCAAAAGAGCCCTTTTCTCCCTTGGGACCAGAAACACCTGATAGAGAAGAACCATTTAGAACATTTAATAAAAGGGTTGGAAGAGATCCTGGAGATCCTCTAGTCCGGCAACCTTGGCTCTTTTATGACTCGTGGACTTCAACTCCCAGAATTCCTGAGCCAGCATGGCAACCTCTCCCTTTTCCCTCAGCATGGCTGGCTCAGGAATTCTGGGAGTTGGAGTCCACATATCTTAAAGTTGTTGAGGTGGAGAAACAATGGACTAGGCCAGGGGTAGGCAACCTTGGCTCTTTTATGACACGTGGACTTCAACTCCCAGAATTCCTGAGCCAGCATGGCTCAGCAGGGAAACCTCTCCCTTTTCCCTCAGCATGGCTGGCTCAGGAATTCTGGGAGTTGAAGTCCACGAGTCATAAAAGAGCCAAGGTTGCCTACGCCTGTCCTATGGCCTTGAACAGTTCTCCTACTTAACCAGAAGATGGTGGCTTGGAGGCTTCCGATTCATTTATGCTCTTCATCTGAAGCTAGCCAAGTGTGTGAAATTCTTAATTTAACTGGACTCATTCTGCTCCATTCAGCTCACCATAAAGTCTTTCTGGCTTTACCGCAAATTTACTTTTGAGCAGAATAATGTTGACTTCTACTTGTAAATGAAATTAAAAGGGAGACATCATACAAAATCTAAGAGCAACTATGCAGGTCAAAGTTCCATCTTGTTTTTTTTACATGTGTTGTGCTCCTCACTTTTTGGACATTTTTCTGTGGACCTTTTTGGATAGATCCAAAGGAACCCCAAACAGCCAATGAAAAACTTTCGCTTAATTCACTCTGAAGGCTCAGGAGAACATCTGTATCAGGGATTTCCAACTTTAACTTTAAGACTTGTGGACTTCAACTCCCAGAATTCCCAAGCCAGCATGGCCTGGTTGGCGGGGGAATTCTGGGAACTGAAGTCCACAAGTCTTAAAGTTGCCTAGATTGGAAATCTGGATCTATATCAGTGTTTCCCAAACTTGACAATTTTAAGGCATGAGGACTTCAACTCCCAGAATTCCACAGCCAGCAACGCTGGCTGTGGAATTCTGGGAGTTGAAGTCCACATGCCTTAAAATTGTCAAGTTTGGGAAACACTGATCTATATAATCAGCAGCTTCTGAAAGCAAGTAGGGTTGCTTCTAAGATGCAAGGGCAGATCATGAAAAAAGATAAGGCTGCGTGACAGATTTAGGTTGGTGTGTGATCTACTTTCCTAGCCAGCCAATTAAATCAGCAACTTGGACTCTGACCTACAAGCTAAAGTAAAAACATCACCAAGGGAACTTAAATGAATGTTCTTGCTGTTGGAGGCTTTTTCTTGCTGAAACCACCTTCTTGGGATCTAAGAATAACCCAATGGTACCCAAAATAAGAGAGGGGGGGGGGCATGGATTGATCCTCAAATGGAGGCTTAATCTTTGAATTAATGCAAAGAGGCTCCCACGATGACCTCCGATTTGCAATAAAATGGAGAGTTGTGTCTTCTCAAAATGGGTAATTTTTAGCTCTGAGTCAACATGGGACCAGCAGAAATAATTTGGCCACCAAATGAGAAGAGAGGACTCATTGGAAAAGACCATGGTATTGGGAAAGATGGAAGGCAAAAGGAGAAGGGGACAGCAGAGGAGGAGATGATTAGATGGTGTCATCGATGCAATGAGCTTGGATTTGGGAGATTCCAGGAGACAGTGGACGACAGGGGGGCCTGGCGTCTGTGGTCCATGGGGTCGTGAACAGTGAACACGACTTAGCATCTGAACAACAACAAGAAGATGGGAGAGAGAGAGACCAAAATAGGTGGTGCTGCTTAGCCTCCCCCCTTCTGAAGATGCAGGAATGAACTAATTCAAAAATAAAACCAATGGGTATGCACTTGCCTGCTCCCAACAATATCTGCAGACAGGAACTGTTATGTCCTGGGCCGGCAGGCACAGGCTGCAGCGATTGGCCCGGGCAGACCATGTGGATGCCCGGGACAAGAAAGGCTGCTCCCAGCCTTGCGTGCACACGCACGGCGGGAAAAGATCATTTGCAATGATTGGCCAGCAAGGTATTGTGCAGGGGGGCTATAAAAGGGGGCCACACCATTTTAAAATCTGTTCTGTTGGTGTTTGCAATAAAGGAGAACTGTTGGAACTTGTTGCTTCGTCTCAGTGCCTCTTTTCCTGAAACAGAACAGGAATGAAGATGGAAGATGAAAAATCACCTTGTAAAGGCTGTCTCTTCTACCATTAAAGTTTAATGAAAAGGTGACTAGGGGTGACATAGCAGTGTTCCAATATCTGAGGGATTGCCAAAAAGAAGAGGGGGTCAGGCTTTTCTCCAAAGCCCCTGAAGGCAGGACGAGAAGCAATGGATGGAAATTAATCAAAGAGAGAATCAATCTAGAACTAAAGAGAAATTTCCTGACACTTAGAACAATTAATCAGTGGAACAGCTTGCCTCCAGAAGGTGTGGGTGCTCCATCACTGGAGGTTTTTAAGAAGAGACTGGACAGCCATTTGTCTGAAATGGTACAGGGCTTTTGCTTGAGCAGGAGGTTGGACTAGAACAGGGGTAGGCAATCTTGGCTCTTTTATTTTTTTTTTCAAATTTTATTTATAATACAGTTAAAAACAAACAAACATTGGATTTAACGTGACATTCCAGTATATACATTCTTATCAGATTATTCCACTTTTTACAATCAATTCTTCATGTCTACATATACATCTAAGTTTTATATACAATACGTGTTCTAAAATAGCATATATTTCTATCTTAACGTTCATCTTTAATCCCGACTGTCCTCTTCAAATTCCTCCAGCGGTAAAATTTACCCCAGGTTTCATAATAAACTGATCCACATTTGTCCTTTAATATCATTGTGAGCCTGTCCATTTCCGCACATGCTAATGTTTTATGTATTAACTCTTCCTCTCTGGGAATTTCCTTGCTCTTTTTTCATTTTTGCGCTAAAGCAAGACTCTTGGCTCTTTTATGACTAGTGGACTTCAACTCCCAGAATGCCTGAGCCAGCATGGTTGCCTACCCCTGGACTAGAAGATCTTCAAGGTCCCTTTTGCTGTTCTGTTCTGTCCTGTCCTGTTCTGTTCCTCCTCTTATTTCCCCACCACCACAATTCTGTTGTTGTACCTCTTTCTCCTGGATATCCATCTCTCCCTGGAAGTCCAGGCATCCCAATTTCTCCTCTTTCGCCTTTCATTCCAGGGAAACCGGTAAGACCAGCTGGTCCAGGCGCTCCAGCCTTTGGTTCATCCTCCCGGACAGGGACAGGTTTCCGCGATTGTTCGTGAACGGAAGTGTCAAACTTTAACACATGAGCTGAAAGAGAAGAATGGAAAGTAAGGAAATTTTCGTTCTTGTCTCCCCACCCAAACTGTTCTGCGTCCTGCTTTTGCCGAAGTCCTTTAGCAAAATCTTTTTAAAATGAACAATAGGCTTTTTTTCTAGATCTATACCAGTGGTTCTCAACCTTTTTAATGCCGTGACCCCCAACCGGTCGTAAGTCGAGGACTACTCAACCGGTCGTAAGTCGAGGACTACTCAACTGGTGCAGCACCGTTTGCAGAATGGGACTTTTGGCGGGCTCAGCAGGGCAGAGACAGCCTGGACAATTCCTATTGGCTTTTGAAAGCCAATAGAATTAGACTCTATTCAAGAGAGTCTATTCTATTGGCTTTCAAAAGCCAATAGAATAAAAGGGAGTAGCACAGCTAAGGAAAAGGGGAAAAAAATGGCGGACTGCATTGTTTGGCGACCCCCGTGAAATGGTCATTCGACCCCAAATGGGGTCCCGACCCACAGGTTGAGAACCACTGATCTATACAATCATTTTCAAACAGAGCATGATTCTTTTTTTTTTTATTGAAAAGTTTTATACAAATTTTTAATACAATACAATATCCCCCCCTACCTCCCCCCCACCCTAACCCTCCCCCCCTTACTTCCCAGAGCTGATTGCAGGGTTAAAAAAATAAACAAACAAATTCTAGCTAAGCTTATCCAACTATACAAATAATAAAATCCCTAAAATACTTTAACTCAAATACAAAAGAGATATTTCAAAGAAAAACATAAATAACAATATAAATAATTCCCACTTTAAGCTTTAAGTTATTCAAAAACTAAATAATACTTTCTAATCCCATATTTATTCTGTACAAAATTTATCCATTTTCTCCACACCGAGATGTATCTTTCTTGTGAATGATCCTTCAAATAAGTAGAAGTTTTAGCCATTTCTGCTAAATTAGAAACTTTAAGCAACCATTCTTCTATGGTAGGCAAAGAATCTTTCTTCCAATATTGTCCAACCAATAACCTTGCTGCCGTAGTAAGATTCAACATTAAAATAGTTTCTTTAAAATCACAATCTACAATAATACCTAACAAAAATAATTGTGGTGAAAATTTTATCTTTTTATTAAAAATCTTCTGAATGTTCCACCAGATCTTAATCCAAAAGGCTTTTATGTTTTTACACATCCACCAAATATGGTAATAAGTTGCATCCAAGTATCCACATCTCCAACACTTAGGCTGTACAGCTTAAACGGAGCATGATTCTTGTCAATATCAGCTAGTCCTCCACTTACGACCACAATTGAGCCCAAAGTTTCTGTTTCTGTTGCCAAGCGAGATGGTTGCTAAGTGAAATTTGCCCCATTTTACCACCTTGAATACAAATAGTCCTTGACTTACAACCATTTGCTTAGTGACCGTTTGGAGTTGCTGAAAAATGTGACTTGTGACCATTTTTCACACTTATGACCATTGCAGCACCCATGTAGTCATGCCATCAAAATTCGGATGCTTGACAACTGGCATGAATTTATGACGGTCGCCGTGGCCCGGGGTCACGTGAACCCCTTTTGCGACCTTCTGACACGCAAAGTCAACAAGGAAACCAGATGGGCTTAACAACCCTGTTACTAATTGAACAACGGCAATGATTCACTTAACAATTGTGGCAAGAAAGGATGTAAAATGGGGTAAAACTCACTTAATAACTGTCTTGCTTAGCAGTGGAAATTTTGGGCTCTTAAATGTGTGGTCATAAATTGAGGACTCTCTGTAGTCAGAACTAGGGAAATTCAGATTCTAAATCAAGGGAGATGCATCTGTTGGGGAGATGGCAATAGAAGAAGCTGCAGGAAGGAAAAAAGTAAGGATCATCTTTTATTTAAAGAAAAAAATAACCAATTAAATAGAAGGCTGTCTAACTAATGCACACTTGGCAGTTCTACAGACTCTGAAAATCTGGAAAGGAACAAGGATCATCTATGATGAGTGAATAACAATTTTAATGGGTAATTCCAACATTTGACTGTATGAAATCACGCTGAGGGCATGGACAGGGCAGATATAAAATATAGAAACAAGTAAACGGATATGTGACTTCTTGGTTGGTCTACTGCAATTTGCCCTACATGGGGCTGCCTTTGAAGATCACCTCTAACCTTAAATTGATCTGTCAAATTGTCACCAGTGGATAGATCTTTCTTTCTTTCTTTCTTTTTCTTTCTTTCTTCCTTCCTTTCCTTCCTCCCTCATTTCTTCTTCCCATGTCTTCCTTCTTTCTTCCTTCCTTCCTTTCCTCCCTCATTTCTTCTTCCCATGTCTGTCTTTCTTTCTTTTTCTTTCTTCCTTCCTCCCTCATTTCTTCTTCCCACGTCTTTTCTTTCTTTCTTTCTTTTTCTTCCTTCCCTCCCTCATTTCTTCTTCCCATGTCTGTTTGTCTGTCTGTCTTTCTTCCTTCCTTCCTTTCATCCCTCCTTCATTTCTTCTTCCCACGTCTCCTTTCTTCCTTTCTCTTTCTTTCTTTCTTTCTTTCTTTCTTTCTTTCTTTCTTTCTTTCTTTCTTTCTTTCTTTCTCTCTCTCTCTCTCTCTCTCTCTCCCCCTCCCTCCCTCCCTTCCTTCTGCATAGAAAGTAGCAGTATCTAAATGATATCGAGACAGTCTGAAAACATACTTGTATTGTTTGAGGTTTTCCAGTCTATTTACTAGACAGTGAATCTATATATATGATTACATAAGGATTTTTCATCAGAGGAGGGAATAATTACAGCTTGTAATTCATCCAGTTGCCATCACTAGGGTGGGGTGAGGGGGGTGGAGGACTCTCGTGTGGTCTAATTCTCAGGCCTTGGGGAGAGAGAGCCATTTCCATCTGAGGATTATCTTGAAAAGCACAATCAATTTCAGTTCCTCCTCAACATAAACATAATGCTGGAAACATCCCAAGTTGGTTGGTCTTGAAGGTGCCATTAGAATCAGTACAGGTAGTCCTTGATTTACAATCTTTGTTTAGTGACCGTTCAAACTTACAATGGCACTGAAAAAAAGTGGCTTATGACCATTTTTCACACTTAACGACCACTGCAGCATCCCCAGGGTCACATGATAAAAATTCAGACACCTAACAACTGGCTCAAATTTATCACCGTTGCAGAGTCCTGGGATCATGTGATCCCCTTTTGCAACTTTCTAGCAAGCCAAGTCAATGGGAAAGCTTTACTCTTGACAACTGCAGTGATTCATTTAACAACTATGGCAAGAAAGGTTGTAAAACGGGGCAAAACTTTCTTAGCTGCTGTCTCGCTTAGCAACAGGAATTTTGGGCTCAACTGTGATCATAAATCGAGGACTACCCGTATTTATTTTATTGCACAGACTACAGAGCTCTGCTTCCTAACTCCCACAGTTAGCACCTTTTTTTTTTTTTTTCAAAACTTGGCAGGGGTATTTTTCTACTGTTGCCATCAACCCCTTGTCGTGGAAAAACCCAGTGAAAAAGACAAGAGACAGCAGCACCAAACAATAATTCTTACTTTAAGATTCATAGGTTTATTTTGCTAATAATTTGGAACATAGCAAGCATAATAACACCACATCACTTACATTAATAACCCATTGCAATGAGGACCATATGGCATAGCACAGTGGTGGCGAGCCTATGGCACGTGTGCCAGAGGCGGCATTTAGAGCCTTCTCTGTGGGCAAACACGCCATGCCCCAGAGATGGCAACTGTCCTTCTTCAACCAGCCGCCTGCTAACTCGCTGAGGTCCCACGTGGCCGGATGCATCCCGGCAGGGCTAGTTTCCCTCCCCCTCTCCATCCCATCCTTCCTGGCCTCGCATGTCCTCCTTTTCCTGGGCACGACCCACTGCATCGCCTTCTCAGTTGTTGGCCAGCCATCCAGCTCAGAGGCAGCTTTTTTGAACTGCTGGTGGCGGGCTGCGGAGTCCCGGAGTGTGGCCGGCAGGCTGTGGCTGCTGACGGACACCATTGGCCCCCATGCACTCGCTGGCCTCTGTGTGCGGGGGCCGATGGTGTCAGGTGCCCTGGCCCTTGCCTTGCCCCATGGCAATGGCACCCCTACCCTGCCTCACCTCACCCTGCAGGATGAGCCTCCTTCCTCACCTGCCGGAGACCCCCTGGATCTCCCCCAAACCTGCCCACCCCCCAACAGGCATCACTCCCCATGAGCAACATTGGGGTGACCACTCACACCTTGGCGACACCCACCCAATTTGCCATGACCACCACAGCCATGACCACCCGATGGGCCATGCCCACCCGGCAGTAAATAAGTGGGTTTTGGGTTGCAGTTTGGGCACTCGGTCTCTAAAAGGTTCACCATCACTGGCATAGCAGATTCCATAGGACAGCTATGGGCCAATGGCAAATCAGTCAGGTCCAGTCCCAGTCTTTATACCCTTTCTCATTTTAAGACTGTAGCCAAATGGTCTGCTGACTTTTGCTGACTTTCTACTGAACATAACTTTCCACATATACCCGGGTACATTGGAACCCGCATCCATCAGCTCCTTTCAGTTCCCTATTTCTTACTCTTCCAGTCCTGATGTTCTAAATATACACAGAACTACCTACTTTGCAATTTCACATCGCACAAAGCACAGCAGATTACAAATAATACGTCCGTATTGTGAAACAATATAGAGATTGAGTTAAAGCTTTGTTTTAAATCACTCCTGTAGGGCCCTAACCTCAGGTTAGCTCCAGCCTCATCTTGTTATATGAGGAAGGGGCTATGTTTTCATCTCCCACACCCTCTTCCCTAACTGAGCCATAAGTTCTTTGTGGGGAACTTTGAGTCCGAATCTGTTTCAAAGTCAAGTTCTTTTTCACTATACGGCACTGTGCAATCTCAACTGACTTGTGGAATGAAATCCGGTCTTTGCTGTGTTCTTTTCAATTAGCGGTGATGGGCACGCCATTGGAAGAAGACCAGAGTGGGCCTGAGAAGGACTATTTATATGGTTGCTAAGCATCAACACCAATCGAATGGCACATAACAAAAGCAATTTTGTTCTTGAGGGATCATCAGTCAGGCAAATTTGCATTCAGAACCAGGCTGCAACAGTTCTTAACCTCCATTGAGCATGGAGAAACACAGAAGAGAGACTTCTTTTGATTGCGTGTAATTCTCTTGTTCACAGGTTGAAATGTAATGATGTTTTCTGCAGCCTGTAGTTAATTCCCTCCCCTTTTTTCTCAGCAATAAAACAAGCAGGGAAATTCTGGAAGCAAATTAGGCATCAGTGCCATAGATAGCCAGGGCTGATTACTTTCAGACAGTGTTCTCTTGACACACTGAACTAATCACTCGGATGCGCTACACCACAGCTAATTGATGCAGCCCGTAAACTCCATGTTAGTTTTTCTCTCAAACTGATCTGGATTTGTTTGACGCTAAACTATTTTCCCGCCAATCGTCTAACTCCTGTGTGTTGTGAAATTATCCTTCTCAGATAAAATCTTGTAAAAAAAGAGATGTCTCTAGAACAGTGTTTCTCACTTAGCCACCTTAAGATGTGTGGACATCAACTCCATTCTGGGAGCTGATGTGATGATACTGGTCTAGGAATAAGGAAGGAAGGAAGGAAGGAAGGAAGGAAGGAAGGAAGGAAGGAAGGAAGGAAGGAAGGAAGGAAGGAAGGAAGGAAGGAAGGAAGGAAGGAAAAGGGGAGGAGGAGAAGGAGAAGGAGAAGGAGGAGAAGGGGAAGGGGAAGGAGAAGGAGAAGAAGAAGAAGAAAGGAAAAGGAGAAAGAGCAGAAGGAGATGTACTTGGAAAAACTCAAAGATCAGGTCAGGGGCTGGCGAGAATCTATCATGTGATCACTAAGAACAGTGCATAATTTAAACTGATGGTGCATAATTTAAAAAATCAATTTTCCCCCAGTTGCTCAAGATGCTATACTTAGCATCCCATCTTCTTATCTCTCCACATAGCAATATGTGGTTGGTTATTGCAAAGAAACATAGAGAGCTTCGGTGGTTTAAGATGGAATCTGCATCTCCCCAGTTGAGTTAAAGACCTTACTTGCTAAATCACATCAATGTTCAAAAGTAATTAGTTTCCTTGGGTACACATAGATGCATATATCAGCTACTTCCATTTTTTTTCCTCACAGCAACCCACCCGTGTGATGGATTAGGTCAGGGGTAGGCAACCTTGGCTCTTTTATGACTCGTGGACTTCAACTCCCAGAATTCCTGAGCCAGCATGGCTCAGCTTGGAAATCTCTCCCTTTTCCCTCAGCATGGCTGGCTCAGGAATTCTGGGAGTTGAAGTCCACGAGTCATAAAAGAGCCAAGGTTGCCTGCCCCTGGCTTAGGTGGAAGAAGAGGGACTGATCCAAGGGAGCTTCCATGATTGAGAGGGCACTAGGATCTGGATCTCTCCAGTTCTTGTCTTCACCCCTATACTACCCTGACTTTCATTCGCTCCTTTAAGTTTACTTCGTTTAGTTTACATTTTTGATCAGAAGTCTGAATCTTGCCTCATATTGCTTAAGAGAGTGACAGAAGAAGCCCTACCGAAAAGCAAATGAAATTAGCGGTTCATTTAGTAACTGTTCATTTAGTAACTGTTCAAAGTTACAATGGACTTAGGACCATTTTTCACATGACCGTTGCAGCATCCCCAGGGTCACTGGGATCAAAATTCAGATGCTTGGCAACTGTCTCATAGATATGACCGTTTCTGTGTCCCAGGGGTCACGTGATTCCCTTTTGCAACCTTCTGACAAGCAAAGTCAATGGGGAAGCTGGATTCATTCAACAACCGTGTTACTAGCTTAACTGCAGTGATTCACTTAACAACGGTGGCAAGAACGGTCATAAAATGGGGCAAAACTCACTTAACAAATTGTTTCACTTAGCAGTAGAAATTTGGGGCTCAGTTGTGGTTGTGATTTGAGGACTACTTGTAATTGATCTAGAGATGGATAATAATGATAAGCCGAGATGTAAATTGATCAGCTGGCATGGTGCAGGAGCTCTGCAAGGCTTCTGAACTCATTATCCAGCCCAGCTACAGTACACACCCCTTGCCGTTCATCTCACACCTCCTCTGCAGCAGATCCTACACACAACGCAGCTGCAGAGGTAAGATTTTACACTGGGATATACTTACACTGGATCAGACGCTCACAAGCTTGGTTTACCAGATGATAAATAGTAGACAAGGACTGCGCTTCACCCTAGGTGGAAAGAGAAGAGAGTCACTTTGGGCAACTGGTTGAGGCACCAAGCTAGTGTGGGAAATCAGCCCCCCCCCCCCCCCGAGAAGGAAATGTTAAAAGGGCAGAAAAATATATTTCCTCAAAGGATCTTAGAGGCAGAAAAGCATGCCCTGTTTTTTTCTTAATAGCCCCAAGTCTCCCTCCCCCAAACAGAAACCAGCTCTGTAGAAATGCAGATGTAAACCATTCAGAAAAGTTGAAGCTAGAAGATTAAGAAGACAAAGACACCTAAGAACTACATACCCCACCCAACCTCTAAGACAGGACATAATAGGATTATGCAACCGTCATAAATAAGAGACAGATGCCAAAGGGCACACCCAGACTCAGGTCAGAATACATGACACAGGAAATACAAAGCCTCAAACAGGAAACAACTCCAAACAAAAGCCCCAGAGGATATAAAAACCCACTCCCTGTATGTGCTCTCTCTTTCTTTTCTTCCAGAGCCATCTTCCTGTCTGGCTCTCCTCTCCAATAAACTGCAACCTTCTTTCTAAATCAGTCACCATGTTGTTTATTCCCGGCTTGGACTGAACAATGATGAAGACTTTTCCTTCAACACTAGAAAGCAAGAGATGTTGAGTTCTAGTCTTGCCTTAGGTATGAAAGTTGTCTGGGTGACTTTGGGCCAATCACCAGAGATTGGGGGTTCTAGTCCCACCTTAGACATGAAAGCCAGATGGGTAACTTTGGACCAATCACCAGGAGATGGTGGCTAAGACAGGACTGAAACTCACTGTCTCCTGGTGATTGGCCCAGAGTTACCCATCTGGCTTTCATGCCTACAGCGGAACTAAAATTCATAGTCTCCTGACTATGAGTGGCTCAGTTCATCCAGATAGCTTTTATGCCTAAGATGGCACTAGAACTCACCCTCTCCTGGTGATTGGGCTGAAGTCACCAAGCTACTTTCATGCCTAAGGTGGGACTAGAATTCACCCTCTCCTGGTGATTGACTTAAATCACCCAACTAGCTTTCATGCCTAATGCAGGCTAGAACTCACAGTCTTCTGGTGATTGTCCTAAAGTCACCAGTGGCTTTCATTTTAAAGTCAGACAGGAACTCACCATCTCCTGATGATTGGCCCAAGTAAGGTGACCAACTTTTTTACAATGAAAAGGAGGACACAAATAAATTGAAGAAAAAAAATATCGTACATAAAAGAAACGTTTTATTAGTTGCAACAATAATACAGAATACACTATAATATGATAAATGCAGAGTGGTCCCTGCGGCTCCCAAAGCACCAGCCGTGCTGGTTCCGGCCCCGGGGGGCAGCCCGCCATCAACACACCTCACCTGCAGCCGCCCTGCCAGCACCACCGCCCACCCTGCACAGTCCTGTGTAGAGCGGGCCCCGCGGCTCCCACAGCACGGGGCGGGGGCAGCCGGCCACCGCCGCCCCTCACACTCCCGCCCGCAGCAGCCCCGCTGCCCGTGCCTCTTGTGCCCACAGCCATTATTGCCCTAGCAGAGCTGAAGATCAAGAGAAACTTACCGTGGCGTCACCGCTCCAGTCTCCCCCAGGTATCTTTGGTACTAACTAGGAGATGGTGTAGTTGGGTAGCAGGGAGGGGTGCAAAGTTCCTGCCAATTCGCCTTCGCTGCAGACAACTTGCATGTGCAAAGTTTGCTGGTCACACTCAGGAGCAATTTGGCATGCTCAGCAGCAATTCCTATTGGCTTTCGAAAGCCAATAGGGGAAGTAGCACAGCTCATGCAAAAGTTGAAAAAAAAACATCAAAAAAAGGTGCTGGAACGCCGTTCTGAGCGTTCTGTGAGGGAAAAAAAAGCCCTGCAGATTAGTCTTCAAATATCAAAAAGGAGGACATGTAGGAGGACACTTTTCGAGGGAGGACAGAACTCACAAAAGGAGGACTGTCCTCCCTAAAGGAGGACGGTTGGTCACCTTACAAAAGCCACCCAGTTGGCTTTCATACCTAACACAGCCTAAAGCTCACAGATTTCTGGTTTCTAGGCCAGCACCTTAACCACTACACCAATGTTGATATATTTGTGATATTTACTTCTTATTTTCTCGCCCCAGTTGTATTTAATTTTGTGTAAAAACAGTATATCAATCCAAGAGGTATCATCCAAAATTAGATAGTTCAATACAAGCTCATCTTGAAGTGGAATCTCTTATTTTATTGCACACGCCAGTTCGGTTATATGTGTTCCTTACAGAAGATAAAAGAATAATCAAATCACTGAAAACAATTTGAATAAGCTGGGCCATAAGCCATAAAAGCTCACCATAAAATATTATGATTATCCATTTTCATGCCAATATGAGTTTTTATGGATTATAGCAACATTTATGATTTTTCAACAGCTTGATTATTCCCTTGAGAATGCAAATACACAAAAGGAAAGGTTGTAGTGCATTAAGAGATGCATTTTGAAGGACAGTCTATTTATTCAGTCCCCAGAGAACGGCCGCTGGAAGGTGACTTCGCAAAATATTCAGGAATTAATCCCTATCTGATGGCAAGGTTCTTTTCTAGTCATTTTAAACACCAGACCTCTTTGATTAAATGTCTCTTCAGGATCATGTGGCAGCAATTGCATTTAGATTGCCTGTTATTCTGAGAAACAAATAACAAACATAATATTCCCAGAGCAATTTGGGGAAAAGTCAAGAGAAGGAAAAGATGAGGTTTAAAATTAATATCTGCTGGATATCAGGGTTTACAAAGAAGTCTCAAAGACAAAGAAATAGGAAATTCAGGTAGTCCTCAACTTACAGCCATTCGTTTAGTGCCATTCGAAGTTGCAACAGCACTGAAAAAAGTGACTTATGACCGGTTTTCACACTTACGACTGTTACAGCTGATCAAAATTCAGAAGCTTGGCAACTGGCATGTATGTATGACAGTTTGCATGTCATGTGATCATCATTTGTAACCTTCTCAGCTGGCTTCCGACGAGCAATGTCAAGGGGGAAGCCAGATTCGCTTACTGACTGCATGGTTTATTTAACAACTGAGTGATTTGCTTAACAACTGTGGCAAGAGGTCATAAAATGAGGCAAAACTTACTTGGCAACTACCTTGCTTAATAAGAGAAATTTGGGGTTCAGTTGTGGTCATAAGTCAAGAACTACCTGTCTTTAGTCCATTTCTGTTTCTCACTATAGGAAGGTCTACAAGATGGAGGTTGTGCCAGTGGAATCAAAGCCCCACCCCTTTTGTACATGCAAATACAAAATAGGTGGGGCTTGCATTACAATGCCACGCCCACCATCTTCTCTGTTTTGACCCCTCCCTTATAGATGCTAGTGCTACCATGGATGATTTATTCTGGTTTTATAAGTGTTGGGAATTGCCCAGAATTGCTAGATATGGCTATGTGCCAAAATCTAATAAATTAACAATTGCACATCTTCATCCAATTAAAATAAATGATGAGGATCATTTTAAGAAGATTATTGAGAACTATCTCAACAGTTTCCTTTTCAGGTATCATACTTTTGTAACAACATCTTTGATTGTACAGACCATCAAATAACTTTGACAAGAATGTCAAACAAATTAATAGGGCATCTGCAGGGACCACGGTTAGGAATCAGAGCAGTGAGCCCAATTATGTGATCAAAGATTTGCCCTTTTTGACACCTCCTATGGACACCCCTGCTAATGGGTATTTCTCCTCTTTTTCACAGTATTATTTTGATAAAATTTACTATCTTCTTCTACATTTTTAAAATTTTATTCCTTTTATTATTTTATAAGTAACTTAAGACAGCAAACATACCTAATACTCCTTCTTCCTTCCATTTGCCCCACAACAACTCTGCAAGGTAGGTTGAGCTGAGAGAAAGTTACTGGCCCAAACTCATCCAGCCAGCTTTCAGGCCTATGACAAGACTAGAACTCCGTCTCCTGGTGATGGGCCCAAAGTCACCCGGCCGACTTTTCAGCCTATGGTGGGACTAGAACTCCCAGTCTCCAGATGATTGGTCCAAAGATACTCAGATGACTTTCCTGCCTAAGGCGGGACTAAAACTTTCAGTCTCCTGGTGATGGGTCCAAAGTACTGGTAGCTAAATTTAACTGAATTTGGAGAACTGGCTGGCTTCTGAAAGTCCAGTCTAGGCCTTGGAGGCCTCCCAGGCCTAGAACGGACCATCGGAAGTGCATGGATACCACTTCCGGAAGTCCATTGTAGGCATCGGAGGCCTCCCAGGCCTAGAACAGCCCACCGGAAGTGCATGGATACCACTTCCAGAAGTCCGTTCTAGGCATCGGAGGCCCAGCCTGCATCACATAATAGAACCGGTTGTTCAAATATTTGAATTCCACCACTGCCAAAGACACAGCTGACTTTCCTGCCTAAGGTGGGACTAAAACTACGGTAGATCTCACCATCTCTTGGTTTCTAGACCAACATCTTAACCACCACAGCAAATGAAAGAAATGTGCATATATTGAGACAGATAATTATTAAAGTGACCAACCGTCCTCCTTTAGGGAGGACAGTCCTCCTTTTATGAGTTCTGTCCTTCCACGAAAAGTGTCCTCCTACGTGTCCTCCTTTTCGATATTTGAAGACTAATCGGCAGGGCTTTTTTTCCCCTCATAGAACGCTCAGAACGACGTTCCGGCACCTTTTTTTGATGGTTTTTTTTTTCCAACTTTTGCATGAGCTGTGCTACTCCCCCTATTGGCTTTTGAAAGCCAATAGGAATTGCTGCTGAGCGTGCCAAATTGCTGCTGAGCGCGGCCGGCAAACTTTGCACATGCAAGTTGTCTGCAGCGAAGGCGAATTGGCAGGAACTTTGCACCCCTCTCTGCTACCCAACTACACCATCTCCTAGTTAGTCCCGAAGATACCAGGAGGAGACTGGAATGGCATTGCCACGGTAAGTTTCTCTTGATCTTTGGCCCTGCTAGGGCAATGGCTGCGGGCACAAGAGGCAGGGGCAGCGGGGCTGCTGCGGGCAGGAGTGTGAGGGGCGGCGATGGCCAGCTGCCCCCCCCCGTGCTGTAGGAGCGACAGGGCCTGCTCTACACGGGGCTGCACAGGGTGGACAGTGGTGCTGGTGGGGCAGCTGCAGGCGGGGTGTGTCGAGGGCGGGCTGCCCCACCCTGGGCCGGAGCCAGCACAGCCGGTGCTTTGGGAGCCGCGGGGCCCACTCTGCATTTATCATATTATAGTGTATTCTGTATTATTGTTGCAATGAATAAAATGTTTCTTTTATGTACAATATTTTTTTTCTTCAATTTATTTGTGTCCTCCTTTTCATTGTAAAAAAGTTGGTCACCTTACAATTATATATTTTGATTCCACTCTTCTTGTGTTTAAAAAATGGATATAAATCAATTGCACAGACCCCCACTTAAAATTTAATTAAAAATATTAAGGTCCTTAAGTGATTATCAAAGAACATCAAAGAAGCAACAGAGACTCACTTTCTCCCCTCTTTCTCCTTTTGGTCCAGGAAGCCCCTGGAGGAAAAACAAAAACATTATTATCTTCAAGCTATAAATTTAAAAAAAAACAAAACCCAATTATACGTATCTACATCTTGATAAAAGATCTCCTGTAGCTTTTTCAGGTTTGTTTCTTCTCTAGAGGAAAAATGTTTTCCTATAGATAACAGGCCACACTCCCAGGTATAAAAATGCTGGGTCAAAAATGTAATTCATTTCCTTATATAGTACTGTGCGTGCTCGGAGCTGCTTCGGAGAGAAAAATCATGAAAAAACATGAATTGCTAAAGGCATCTTCAGGGAGAACCCCCTGGGAATGCCACACTGAATTCTGCATGGGAGTAAAAGTAGGGTATCAATAATTGGCTGGATCTAGCCCCTCCTCTCCCCATCCACTTTGTTTCTGAAAGCCCTCTGCAATTCTGCATTTGTGCATACAATCTTCAAGCAACATTGAGTCAAACAAAACTTTATGATACCTGTTATGTCCCGAGCCTTGCAAACGGCTCGGGCGTTTGCAGGCAGTCCCGGGCAGGTGCAAAGCTGCCCGGGACCAGACAGGCTGTCGCCAGCGCCGTGCGCATGCGCGGGTGCTGGCGCGGGAAAAGTAACACATTTACCCGGGAGTTGTCTATATAAGAGGCTGCGAGCGTTGGGCGCAGCAGAAGCCATCTACTTGTAAGCTGAACGCAGAATAAAGAAAACTGAGAACTCCAACTGCTTCTCGTGTCTGCTTTCCGCCAAGGACTCAACACTGGCGATGAAGGTGGGATTGCCTTACACCGCCTGGAAAGGAAGAAGTGTAAGCTTACCCAAGTGAGTCCTGAGCGGCGGAACGGCGTCGACTCGGCAGCTACCCGCCAATCCAGTGCGCATTCGGGGGTAGGCTGGCTGATAGACCCGTCTCCTGAAGATGGCAAAAATTGGAAGGCTTTCGGAATTCGACGTCTCACATCCAGAGCGGTGGGAGTCATACGTAGCCAGGGTGGAGAACTACTTCAAGGCAAACCAAGTGAGGGAAGAGAGCTTGAAGGCTGCCACCCTGCTTTGTGTTTGCGGTCAAGACGCCTTCGAAATTGCAGAAAACCTTGCAGCACCTGTTCCAGTAGAGTCTGTCAGCTATGCAGATCTGAAGAAGCTACTGAAGGAGCACTTCCACCCCAAGATGTCCATCATCGCATGGCGCCACACCTTCGAGCAGAGGGATCAACGGTCTGGTGAGTCGGCCAAAGAATACATCGCCGCATTACGGAAGGCCGCCAAGCACTGCGAGTTCAAGGACCTCGAAGAACGACTGAGGGACCGATTCGTGTGCGGGTTAAGGCATCGAGATCTACAACAGAGACTTTTCGCTAAAGAAGAATTGTCTTTCCAAGATGCCTTAAGGGAAGTCACCGCAGAAGAAGCAGCAGGCGGCACTGTCAAGAACATGCGACCGATCAGAAACAGTCCAGGGGTTGCATCCGTGCACCAGGAAGACGTCCAAAGAAACTCCGAGGAGGATCCGGACGAGGAAGTCGACCGCCTCCACCCCATGAAGGAAGAAAATCAGAAGGGAAGCTCTTCAGCTCCGCTCAAGTGCATCGGCTGTGGAGGTCGCCACAGGAGAACCGACTGCAAGTTCCGCTCCGCTACCTGCCGGGCATGTGGCAAACAAGGACACATTGCAGCTGTGTGTCTGGGCCGATGAAAGGTACAACCTCAGGAAGAACTGCACCTGAAAGGTACCAGATTCCCCAGCCAGAATAGGGTAGGGTTTTGCGCTTCGCGAAGAAGCATCCTTAGGACAGGCACACACAAGCCCATTAAGAAAAAGCTGTCACTCAAGGTGAAGCTACAAGGGGTTCCATTATCTATGGAACTAGACACAGGGTCTGCCCTTATAATCATCTCCTTGCATACATTTAGGAAGATTTGTTCCGGTAGTGGGACTCAGGCCAAGTTAAGGCCTTCTGACATTGTGTTAACAGATTTTCAAAATTCAAGAGTGTGTGTTAAGGGGGAGGCCACCCTTAACGTGCAATACAAGAGTTTTGAAGGTCCACTAGACTTATTAGTAGTAGGGGGTGAACGAACGAGTCTCATAGGACTCGATTGGTTTGAGGCCCTGGGGATACACGTCACAGGACTCAACAGCTTACAAACACTCGACCTACAGGAAGTCTGCAAAGAATTTGCAGATGTTTTCAGCCCCCAGCTGGGCACATTCAAAGGACCCCCTGTGTCCTTAAAGCTAGACCCCACTGTCACTCCCATTAGAATTAAAGCAAGAAGGGTCCCTTTTGCTTTAAAGAGTAAAATTGACACTGAGTTAGACAAACTGATCCAACAGGGAATCCTAGAACCTGTTGATTCCAGTCCTTGGGAGACCCCCATTGTCACGCCTCTAAAGGCAAATGGGGACATTCGCATTTGTGCTGATTACAAATGCACACTCAATAAGGCATTGCAGCAACATGCCTATCCTGTTCCTGTGGTCAGTCACATCCTGGCCTCTCTCAAGGGGGGGCGTGTTTTTGCAAAGCTTGACCTAGCTCAAGCATATCAACAGCTGCCTGTTGATGATGATGCTGCTATAGCTCAGACTATTGTGACCCACAGAGGGGCCTTTAAAGTAAAAAGGCTACAGTTTGGAGTGAATGTCGCTCCTGGGATTTTCCAAAGCGTAATGGAAAACACACTACGAGGGATACCAGGGGTTTGCCCCTACTTTGATGATGTCTTGATTGCAGGAGACTCCACACACATTCTAGCTGAACGGCTAAGGGCTGTTCTGTTAAGATTCAGGAAATCAGGCCTCAAGCTCAAAAAAGACAAATGCAAGATTGGGGTGCCTTCTACTGAATTTCTGGGGTTCAAAATTGATGCTGCTGGGATTCACCCTGCTGAATCCAAATTAACTGCTATTTTAAAAGCACCTAGGCCAAAGTCCAAGGCCGAACTTCAGGCCTTCCTAGGTCTCCTGAATTTCTACACTTCTTTTCTTCCACATAAAGCTAGTGTAGCTGAGCCTCTTCACAGGCTACTAGACAAGCAAGCAGTGTGGCAGTGGTCACAGACGCATGAGGCTTGCTTTAACGAAGTCAAGGCCTTGCTCACTTCTAACAGTGTACTTGCACATTTCAACGAGTCCTTCCTGTGTGCATCGCTTGTGATGCGTCCCCTTACGGGGTTGGAGCTGTCCTGAGCCACCTCAGGTCTGATGGAACTCAGGTTCCTGTTGCATATTATTCAAGAACATTGTCTTCTGCCGAGCGCAACTACGCTCAGATAGACAGGGAGGCTCTGGCTGTTGTTGCTGGAATTAAAAAATTCCATGATTTTCTATATGGCAGGCATTTCACGGTCTTCACTGACCATAAGCCTCTGCTGGGACTGTTTACCACACGTAAGCAGACTCCCCAAATCATTTCCCCTAGAATGCTTAGGTGGTCTATTTTTTTGTCTGCATATGATTTTTCTTTACTCCACAAGCCTGGGAAAGAAATGGGCCATGCTGATGGCCTCAGTAGATTGCCTCTGTCAGTAGTAGAAGCTGACCCTGCGCCAGCTGTCAACATTCTATCAATCCAAGCCTTGCCCGAGCTCCCTCTTAGTGCCAGGGATGTTGCCGCTGAAACAGGTACAGATCACACACTTTCACGTGTCCGTTCCTGGGTTTTGTCTGGTTGGCCTGAGCACTGCCCTAGTCCTGAGTTTCAGAGTTTCTGGTCCAAAAGGAACGAGCTGTCCCTTTCTCAGGGTTGTCTGCTTTGGGGAAACAGAGTTGTCATTCCCACCTCAATGAGGACTAGGGTCTTGGAATCCCTCCACGAGGGTCATCCTGGCATTGTTCGTATGAAGGCTCTTGCACGCAGCCACTTGTGGTGGCCTGGTTTAGATAAAAATATTGAGGCTAAGGTGCATGCATGCCACCTGTGCCAACGATCTCGCCCAGAGATGCCCCAAGCTCCCGTGCACAGATGGGAGGAAACACAGTCCCCATGGTCTAGGGTGCACATTGACTACGCTGGGCCCTTTCAGGGCCAGTTCTTCTTGGTCCTTGTTGACAGCCATTCAAAATGGCTTGAGGTTGTGCCTGTCTCATCCACCACCACTGCAAAGACTATTCAGGTACTGAGGGGGATTTTTGCTGCACACGGGCTCCAGATGTCATTGTGTCCGACAACGGCCCTCAATTCACTTCCTCCGAATTCCAAGCTTTCTTACAGGCAAACATGATTCGTCATGCCACGTCTGCACCTTTCCACCCGTCCACCAACGGTATGGCTGAACGTATGGTGCGCATCACAAAGGACGCCTTGAAAAGACTCACCTACGGGGACTGGCATCACAGGTTGGCTGACTTTCTCCTTTCTTATCGCACCACACCGTCCACTTCTACAGGGAGAAGTCCAGCTGAACTTCGTTGGGGGCGTCAACTTACTACTAAACTTGACCGGTTGCATCCGGACAGATTGCCTTCATCTACCTCACACCATGGGGCACCTAGACAACTACTTGAGGGTGCCCTGGTCTGGACTCGTAATTACGGGCCTGGTCATACATGGGTCCCCGCTTCTGTTTCCAGGGTCACAGGTCCTCTATCCTACGAGGTAGCCTTGGAAACGGTCGTGTCCTGCGCAGGCACATCGACCAACTCCGCCCTAGGCGGCATTTTCCAGCTGAGACTCCTGGGTCTTTTCCAGGGGGGGAGGGGGACCCTTTGGAGCAAAGGGAAGGGCACGAGCTGCTGCCCATCTCCACTGATGGAGCCACAAACGGCCCATCCCAGGGTTCCGCGAGAGCTCCGAACAAGAATTCTATGAGCCTACCCAACTACCAGGCATCCACGCCTACTCCAGCCAGGGAGTCACCCCGGGGGCATACTCACTTTCCACACACATCACACAGCACTCCAGTCATGGAGGATACCCGGGAGCATCCCAACAAACCATTCCCTGCAAGAGAGCTGGCACACAGTCCCCAAAGTTGGCCTGACCTTACCCCAAATCCTACAGGGGGTCAAACATACAGGGAGGTGGTCGAGGAACCAAGTCCCGACTACAACACCTCTAGCCCAAATCAGGGAGTAACTGAGTTTTGGGAAGGTACAGAAACCCACACAAGCCCGGACACAGAACGGGGTTCAGGGAATGGACAGCCTCCTGACAGGTCTTGGACGGACCTAGGAGGTTCAACAGAGACGCCCAGCAGTGGCTATCACTTCAAGGGGCCCGAGGGTCTACAGCTAGGCATGTCAACCAGGTCACAAAGTGACAGAAGCCCTGGCCTGACGAGCCCGGTGGGCGAGCAAGCAGGCCAGGCATCGGGGCACAGTCCTTGGAAGGCACCAAGGCAAAATAAGGAGAACAGGCTCACATCTCCCTCCAGTCAGGGAACTCCTGCTAGTAACCCAGAGTTGAGAAGGTCACAGAGAGCAAAGAAATCTCCTAAGTACCTAGAGGATTATATAACATTGCTGGCAAGGCAAAAGCCAGCAAACAGTGGGAGCACTGGGGAGCGTAACGCTTTATAGCATAAATGATTATATGTTGGTAGTAGTTTTAGCCCGGGGGAAAGGGGTGTTATGTCCCGAGCCTTGCAAACGGCTCAGGCGTTTGCAGGCAGTCCCGGGCAGGTGCAAAGCTGCCCGGGACCAGACAGGCTGTCACCAGCGCCGTGCGCATGCGCGGGTGCTGGCGCGGGAAAAGTAACACATTTACCCGGGAGTTGTCTATATAAGAGGCTGCGAGCGTTGGGCGCAGCAGAAGCCATCTACTTGTAAGCTGAATGCAGAATAAAGGAAACTGAGAACTCCAACTGCTTCTCGTGTCTGCTTTTCGCCAAGGACTCAACAATACCAATAAAGGAGAATATTTGTAGCTGAGGGTTGAAATGAGAGGTCCTTGGTGCTCTCTGAGCTTGCTTGTTTTCTTGCAGACGTTTCATAAAAATAACCCGGTTTTGAACGTTAATAAAACATTGGAGAACACTGTTGATTTTAGAAAGAGCCGGCATTGTCATACTCCACTTTGTATCAAGGCTGCAGCTGTGGAAGTGGTCAGTAATATTAAGTCCCTGGGGGTGCAGATAACTAACAACCTGACTTGGTCTCTTCATGTATTATTTTTAATGAAGCATGCAAACCAACATTTGCATTTCTTGCGTCGGATGAGAGCACCTCTTTCTCCTTCTGTTCTGGCCACTTTTTACAGAGACACGATTGAGAGTGTTTTAACAAACTGCATCACTGTTTGGTTTGGTGGCAGCAGAGCCTCAGATGGAGTGTCCATACAGAGACTGGTAAGGATAGCTGAGTAGATTATAGGAAGCTGCTTATAAGTGCTATGTGCTTAGAGCTCGGAGCAGTATTCCAATATCTCAGGGGCTACCACAGAGAAGAGGGGCTCAACCTATTCTCCAAAGCATCTGGAGGCAGGACAAGAAACAATGGATAGAAACTGATCAAAGAGAAAAGCAACCTAGAACTAAGGAGAAATTTCCTGACAGTTAGAACAATCATTCAGCGGAACTGCTTGCCTCCAGAAGTTGTGAATACTCCAACAATGGAGGTTTTTAGTCCCACCCAGTCTGCGTTACCACCGCAGCCATGCCCACCCAATGGGCCACACCCACCCAATGGACCATGCCCACCCAGCACCCGACGATACATAAGTGGGTTTGGGGTTGCAGTTTGGGCACTCAAGTCTCTAAAAGGTTCGCCATCACTATCCTAGCCCATCTACCAAGATCTTTCCCACATGGCATTACAGGTGGCAGGGAAGACTGGGAGCTGTAGTCCCATCATAACATCACAAACAGGGTACCAGCTTGTGGCCACTTGAAATAACAGCAGGAGCAGTAGAGCTAATTTAATATTAGATGCTTTCTGGGTATGACATCTGATTCCTTTGTAGGATCAAAGCAGTTGTCCCTCTTGTCTCACTCAGCATTAGATTTCATGATTAGAGAGACTTTAACCTAGTTAATCTCAGCAGGTAACATCACCTGGTTGACCTTACATGTGTAGTATGATCAGGGCTGTAAGAACCTGTTTAATGAAAAGAAGGACTAGGAGTGACATGATAGCAGTGTTCCAATATCTCAGGGGCTGCCACAAAGAAGAGGGAGTCAAGCTATTCTCCAAAGCGCCTGAAGGCAGGACAAGAAGCAACGGGTGGAAACTAAGCAAGGAGAGAAGCAACCTAGAACTAAGGAGAAACTTCGTGATCGTTAGAACAATTAACCAGTGGAACAACCTGCCTCCAGAAGCAGTGAATGCTCCAACACTGGAGGTTTTTAAGAAGAGAGTGGACAGCCATTTGTCTGAAGTGGTATAGGGGTTCCCGCTTGAGCAAGCGGCTGGACTAGAAGACCTCCAAAGTCCCTTCCAAGTTTGTAACTCTATTATTCTATTACATGGTTCTGTTATAACTATCGATTGACTAGGAAATGAAATGTTGGATATCCTTAACTGCAGTGAGTGATAGTGAGGTGGCGTGGAGCCTTACCGTGGGTCCGACTTCTCCTGGGGGCCCTCTGTCTCCAGGGCTACCCCGGGCCCCTGCTAAGCCTTGGAATCCCTGCAGGAAGAAAGGAGAGGCGTAAATGACTAGAAATGCAACAGGATGGAAGTGATCAACTCCTTGAGGTTTAAAAGAATCCAGCGGAATTAGCTTGCAAAAAAGCAGGATGGGGAAAAATTACAGACACAGATTTATTTCCTTGAGCTGCATAGCTAGGGAAGAATATTTAAAAGAGTATATCGTACGTGACTTCATGTTTCCCTCATTTCCTGTTAATATCAGAGCTTAGGGGATAGAACAATAGACTGTAAAAACAGTGTTTCTTCAAATGATGCTGTGGGAAATCTACCATATTCCCTTTCTAATAGCTTCATTGTGTAGGGATGCTTAAGCTAGTTTTCTCTTCCATATGATCACTTTAAAAAAAAAGGTGTCTTAGTGTCAGTTTTGACGCCTAGTGGCTGCCTGGAAAGTCCCTGCCATTTTCATGGCAAGGTTTTTTGGAAGTGGCTTCCTATCGCCTCCTTCCTAGAACTAACAGAGTGACTGGTGCAAGATCACCCAGCTGCTTCCTTTCTAAGACAGGACAGCATCTCCTAGTGCAGTGGTGGCGAATCTTTTAGAGACCGAGTGCCCAAACTGCAACCCAAAACCCACTTATGTATCGCCAGGTGCCAGGTGGGCAAGGCTGTAGTGGTCATAGCAGGCTGGGTGGGTGTGGCCAAGGTAGGCATGGTCACCCTGATGTTGCTCATGGGGAGGAATGCCTGTGGGGGCCGGGCAACGTTGGGGGAGATCCAGGTGGATCTGTCAGGTGGGGCAGGAGGCTCGTCCTGTGGGGTGAGACGAGGCAAGGCGAGGGTGACATTGTTGCAGGGCAAGGTGAGGCAGGGGCCAGGCTGGCTGCTGCCTGACACCATCAGCCCCCCCCCCCCACAGAGGCCAGCCAGCCAACAGTGTCCATCAGCAGCCACAGCCTGCCAGTCCCTCGACCGGCACATTCTGGGGCTCTGCAGCCCGCCACCAGCAGTTCAGAGAAGCACCTCTGAGCTGGATAGCCGGCCAACAGCTGAGGAGGCAATGCAGTGGGTCGTGCCCAGGAAAAGAAGAGCATGCGAGGCCAGGAGGGATGGGACGAGGGGGAGGGAAACCAGCCATGCTGGGATGCATCCAGGCATGTGGGACCTCGGTGAGTTAGTGGGTAGCTGGTTGAAGAGGGACGGTTGCCATTTCAGGGGAATGGCGTGTGCCATAGGTTCGCCACCACTGTCCTAGTGATTGGCCCAAAGTCATTCAACCAGCTTTCATGCTAAGGCAGGACTCAAACTCAGAGTCTCCTGGTATTTGGCCCAAAGCCACCCGACCAGCTTTCACGCCTAAGGCAGGACTAGAACTTACACTGGTACCTTGGTACTCAATTGCTTTAAATCCCACTGAAAACTCAAAGCATTTTGATGCAAAAATTTTGTCCCGGTACTCGTCATTTGTTTGGTACTTAATGCACAAGCTAAAATTTGGAAGTGTTGGTTACCTTGTGACTCACTACATTATTCCTTATTGGAAAAATGTGTTTGGTACTCCACATTTTTGGTACTCATCGTGCTTCTTGAAACCAGTTAAAAATGAGTACCGAGGTACCACTGTGTAATCTCCTGATCTTTGGTCCAATAACACCTAGCCAGCTTTCATGCCTAGTATGGAATTAGAACTCACAGTTTCCCACTTTCTGGCTGGATGCCTTCACCTTATGCCAAAATGGCTCTCGTGCATGATAACTTATCATAGTAGTGATTCCTTTTCCTTTCTCTCCTTTGCTTTCTCTTCTACTCGTCTTTTTTATATATCTCTTTCCCTCTGTCTGAAGGGCAAAACAGGAAGATATCTGATTGCCTGTTTCACTGATGTAAGGAGGAAGAAAAACGCCTCAATAATCGAAGAGATGTTCCAGAAACTTTTAGATACCAACCCAGGCTTTTGAAAGATGCCTCAGAGCAGTGGTTCTCAACCTTTTTAATGCCGCGACCCCCAACCGGTCGTAAGTCGAGGACTACTCAACCGGTCGTAAGTCAAGGACTACTCAAATGGTGCAGCACCGTTTGCAGAATGGGACTTTTGGCAGGCTCAGCAGGGCAGAGACAGCCTGGACAATTCCTATTGGCTTTTGAAAGCCAATAGAATTAGACTCTATTCAAGAGGGTCTATTCTATTGGCTTTCAAAAGCCAATAGAATAAAAGGGAGTAGCACAGCTAAGGAAAAGGGGAAAAAGAAAATGGCGGACTCCGTTGTTTGGCGACCCCCGTGAAATGGTCGTTCGACCCCAAATGGGGTCCCGACCCACAGGTTGAGAACCACTGCCTCAGAGTTTGGAGCCAGTTGGTTATGTCCCCTCCTTGCCAAGAAGCCGCCAGAAGCGAATAACCCAGTTGCTAAATGGCAATGAAAGCACACAGAATTTAACGCTTGTTCTTCCTAACCCAAGGGGACGCTGCTGGTAGCAGCTTTTTGGAATGGGGTTGTTCGTTCTGGAATGGACACTGATTTCCACTTGACTGAAATTGCTCACCCGTGGTCCTGGCGGCCCTGGTGGTCCAGCTGCTCCTTCGAGTCCTCGAACTCCCTGCGAAAAACATATTTATTAACAGAAAAGAATATTTGTAGCCCAGGGCTGAATTGTGAGCTCCTTTGGCCTCCCTGGGCTTGGTTCTTTCTTTGCAGATGTTTCATTACCAAACTAGGTAACATGATCAGTGCTAGAAGGGATGGGGTTTGCTCTTTGTCAGTGGCTTGCCGTGTCAGTGTTGGTGGGAGCGTTCTTGGTGTCTCTTTGCTTAGGCTGTTTATTGTTTGATTGTTTGTCTGAGTTGGTAGTTCCTTGACTGGGGTATGGTTTACTGCTTGATTGCTGGTCTAGTATTAAACAAGTAAGTTCTTGTTGTTGTTAGTTGCAAAGTCGTGTCTGACCCATCGCGGCCCCATGGACAACGTTCCTCCAGGCCTTCCTGTCCTCTACCATCTTCTGGAGTCCATTGAAGCTCACGCCTACTGCTTCAGTGACTCCATCCAGCCACCTCATTCTCTGTCATCCCCTTCTTCTATTGCCTTCCATCTTTGCCAGCATTAGGCTCTTCTCCAGTGAGTCCTTCCTTCTCATTAGGTGGCCAAAGTACTTGAGTTTAAATTTCAGGATCTGGCCTTCTAAAGAGCAGTCAGGGTTGGTCTCCTCTAGGACTGACCGGTTTGATTGCCTTGCAGTCCAGGGGACTCGCAGGAGTCTTCTCCAGCACCATAGTTCAAAGGCCTCAATTCTTTAAACAAGTAAGTACTGGAGCACATATTTATTTATTTATTTATGAGACTTATATACCGCTTTAAGTGCAAGCACTCTCTAAGCGGTGTACACCAGTAAGCAATGTATGTGTATGTATATATATATATATATATATATATATATATATATATATATATATATATATATATATATATATATTTACATTGCCCCCAACAGTCTGGGTCCTCATTTTACCTACCCCGGAAGGATGGAAGGCTGAGTCAACCTTGAGCCAGTGAGATTTGAACCACTGACCTGCTGAACACAGTCAGCTAAAGTGGCCTGCAGTACTGCACTCTAACTGCTGTGCCACCTCGGCTCATAACATAACACCAGACCTGTCACTAGAAGGCAAAATCACGAAACTGCCTCTCACGTACTTTGGCCGTGTCATGAGAGGGAATTCACTGGAGAAAGCAATTATGTTTGGAAGAGTTAGTGGTAAAAGGAAACCAGGCCGTCAAAGAACATGGTGGCCAGACACTATCAAAGCTGATACCAGTCAGAGCACAGAACAACTCAGAGAATTAGTGCAAGATCAGAAGATGTGGAGAGACCTGGCCCATAGAATCGCCAAGACTTGGACACAATCGAATGGATAACATTATCAAGTCTTATCAGGTAGACCAGACATGAAACACAATCATATAAGCTAGTTTTACTTTATTTTAATGTTACATTAATAGAATCTTGCAAATCTGAAAGTACTGTTTTCTTGCTGTCTGACTTACAGCCTGAGAAACTAGGGTGGGTCCCTTCTGAACTTCTTTCTCCTCCCATTGTGCAGCTGAGGGCTATGCCATCTAACCATACTCTAGGCCAGACATGTCAAACTCGCGACGTCATGCAACGTATTGGGATGGTTTTGCCATTGCCGGCAATTGGGTGGGCGCGGCTTCTGCGTGATACGTCCAGCCCGCGAGCCGGCAGTTTGACACCCCTGCTTTAGGCAGTATCTCCTAGCCCTGTGGTGGCGAACCTATGGCACGCGTGCCACAGGTGGCACGCAGAGCCCTCTCTGTGGGCACGCGCGCCGTCGCCCCAGTCCTCGGCCTTCAGCTGGGTTTTATAAAACCTTTTCACTATAGGCCTCCACCGACGTGTGCAAAAAAACCAGAAGGGTTCAATCAATCAATCAATTTCAACTTCTCACAGGGAAAAAAAAATCTTGTAAAGTTGGAATTGATTGATTGAACTTTTTAGTCCCACCCAGTCTGCGTTACCACCGCAGCCACGCCCACCCAATGGGCCATGCCCACCCAATTGGCCACATCCAGCCAATGGGCCACACCCAGCACCAGATGATACATAAGTGGGTTTTGGGTTGCAGTTTGGGCACTCAGTCTCTAAAAGGTTCGCCGTCACTATCCTAGCCCATCTACCAAGTTCTTTCCCACATGGCATTATAGGTGGCAGGGAATACTGGGAGCTGTAGTCCCATCATAACATCACAAACAGGGTACCAGCTTGTGGCAACTTGAAATAACAGCAGGAGCAGTAGAGCTAATTTAATATTAGATGCTTTCTGGGTATGACATCTGAGTCCTTTGTAGGATCAAAGCAGTTGTCCCTCTTGTCTCACTCAGCATTAGATTTCATGATTAGAGAGACTTTAACCTAGTTAATCTCAGCAGGTAACATCACCTGGTTGACCTTACATGTGTAGTATGATCAGGGCTGTAAGAACCTGTTTAATGAAGAGAAGGACTAGGAGTGACATGATAGCTGTGTTCCAATATCTAAGGGGCTGCCACAAAGAAGAGGGAGTCAAGCTCTTCTCCAAAGCACCTAAAGGCAGGACAAGGATGGAAACTAATCAAGGAGAGAAGCAACCTAGAACTAAGGAGAAACTTCCTGACAGTTAGAACAATTAACCAGTGGAACAACCTGCCTCCAGAAGCAGTGAATGCTCCAACACTGGAAATTTTCAAGAAGAGACTGGACAACCATTTGTCTGAAATGGTATAGGGTTTCCTGCCTGATCGGGGGATGGACTAGAAGACCTCCAAGGTCCCTTCCAACTCTGTTATTCTGCTATTCTGTTGACATGGATGGGAGATCACCAGATTGTAGACCAGGGAGCTGAAAAACTATTCCAGAAAAAGGTATCAACAAATCATGTTTAGAATGATGTCACCAAAATGACATGGACATAACCTGAAGGTATGGAGGTTGAGCACCTTTTGAAGGAAATAAATGTTACCTTTGATCCTTGAGGGCCATCTTTACCTGCTGCTCCCTGGGGACCCATCATACCCTATAGACAAGCAGAGGTCTGATTTAGAAGGTACATTCCAAGCCAAAGCAGTGATTGACTTGACTACAGTCTTGACTACAGATAGTCCTCAACTTATGACCACACTTGAACCCAAACTTTCCATTGCTAAGAAAGGCAGTTGTTAAGTGAATCACTACAGTTGTTAAGTTAGTCACACAGCTAAGTGAATCTGGCTTCCCCATTGACTTTGCTTGTCAGAAGGTTATTGCAATGGCAGACACTGCAACCGTCATAATACGTGCCAGTTGCCAAGGGTTCGAATTTTGATAATGTGTCTATGGGTATGCTGCAATGGTCCTAAGTGTGAAAACCGGTCACAACTCACTTTTTTCAGTGCTGTTGTAACGCTGCCACTAAAAAAAATGGTTATAAGTCTAGGACTATCTGCATTTGACCCACATCTTATAAGTAAGCTTTTATTTATCAAAGTAAATAACTGATATTTGCTTTAATAAATTTTTATTTTCCTCTCTTCCCCAATTCAGGAGGAACAAACCCAGCACACCACACCACACACACAAACAGAGACATGGACACACAAAGGCACATAATATATTTTAGAGATTCTAGCTAGCTTATACCCAAGAAAGATGATTAGGGGACTGGAGGCTAAAACATATAAGGAATGGTTGCTGGAATTGGGTATGTCTAGTTTAATGAAGAGAAGGATGAGGGGGGACATAATAGCAGCCTTCCAATATTTCAGGGGCTGCCCCAAAGAAGAGGGAGTCAAGCTATTCTCCAAAGCACCAGAGGGCAGGACAAGAAGCAACAGATGGAAGCTAATCAAGGAGAGAAGCAACCTAGAACTAAGGAGAAACAATTAACCAGTGACTTGTCTCCAGAAGCGGTGAATGCTCCAACACTGGAAGTTTTTAAGAAGAGACTGGACAGCCATTTGTCTGAAATGGTATAGGGTTCAGGGGGTTGGACTAGATGACCTCCAAGGTCCCTTCCAGCTTTATTATTGTTATTGTTATTATCTATGCATCTAAACAAGTCTGGTTGCAGAATAGAAGGGAGACTTCTTGAAAATATCAGGTTGAATAAGAATAGTTTTTTTTTAACCTGCAGCCTAGTCTCTTTGAATCTGTGGGTGGCTATGAGATAGAATCACAGAATTAAATGCTGGAAGGGACACTTAGGTCACGAAGCCCAGCACCTATTCAGAGTAGATGTCCTAATTAAAGCATCACAGGCAGATGGCTTGAATATTAGCTTCTACTCTAAAGCATCCAGTGAAGGTCAGCCTATGCTATCCCCTCTCTGAGTCATTGGTTCCACTGCCAAATTGTGGACTTCAACTCCCAGAATTCCTGAGCCAGCATGGCTAAGCATAGAAACCTCTCCCTTTCCCCTCAGCATGGGTGGCTCAGGAATTCTGGAAATTGAAGTCCATGAGTTGAAGTCATAAAAGAGCCAAGGTTGCCTACCCCTGATTTAGATGCACAGGGGTAGGCAACCTTGGCTCTTTTATGACTCGTGGACTTCAACTCCCAGAATTCCTGAGCCAATCTGGCTCAGCTCGGAAACCTCTCTCTTTTCCCTCATCATGGCTGGCTCAGGAATTCTGGGAGTTGAAGTCAACGAGTCATAAAAGAGCCAAGGTTGCCTACCCCTGCACTAGATAGAATAGGGCTCTTCAAACTTGGCCCTTTTATGAGCCAGCATGGGGGAATTATGGCCCCCTCATGACTCGTGGACTTCAACTCCCAGAATTCCTGAGCCAGCATGGCTCAGCTTGGAAACTCTTCCTTTCCCCTCAGCATGGCTGGCTCAGGAATTCTGGGAGTTGAAGTCCATGAATTGAAGTCATGAAAGAGCCAAGGTTGCCTACCCCTGATCTAGGTCCACAGGGGTAGGCAACCTTGGCTCTTTTATGACTCGTGGACTTCAACTCCCAGAATTCCTGAGCCAGCACGGCTCAGCTTGGAAACCTCTCCTTGTCCCCTCAGCATGGCTGGCTCAGGAATTCTAGGAGTTGAAGTCCACTAGTCATAAAAGAGCCAAGGTTGCCTAGCCCTGCCTTGGGGTGAGATGGCCTCAGCCATCTGGCTTATCTCTCACTGCGGAAGGTAACATCAAGGGAGAGACAGTTCAAAGAGTAGTTTGTAGAAATAGAGGAAAGTATACATTGTAGCAAAGCAGAGAAACATACCATAGAGTCTTCCCCCCCCCTTCAGGAGAATGGCAGAACCAGCAGGAAGAAACAGTAAGAATTGAAATAGATTTCCCCCCCCCAAAGGAATGGGTTCTGACATCCCCCACCGTTCAGTTAGAACTGAAGAAGTTTGAACATCTTCAAAAAAAAAACAAAAAAACAAAGTCCAGTTGCCTTTTGAAAAAGCAGTTTTGGGACAACCATAACCTGGATGACTGAGAATCTCCAGAGACAATCAGACATTTCAGAACTGTTCGAAAGCAACTGAAGATGCGGATTTTGCAATGGGCAAAATTTGACTAGCTTCCTTGAAACCTGATGTTTTTTTGGACCTCCATTAAATGGGAATTTGGGGATCTGGCTGCAAGTTATGGATGCTTAAGTACCAAATGGTTGGAGAGCACCAAGTTAGGAAAAGTATATTAACTGAGACTCTAGAAGAAGAGGTGAGGCAGAATTACCTGTATTCCTGGACTTCCGCTGTCCCCTTTATCACCTTTAAGACCAGGTGGTCCCTTGAAAAAAAAAAAAACAGTAAATGTATGAGACATACGGTGTCTTACCAGTGCTTTTTCATTCGCCTAATCGTCCCATTTACCGTATATGCCGCCGTATTAGGCGACCCGGCATATAAGACGACCCCCGTCTTTATAGCCGGGCCGCATTCCTAGAACGTCGTCTTATACGCCGGAAACTACCAGTATTTCCGGCGTATAAGACAACTTGGCGTATAAGACGACTCCCGTCTTTGGCGCCGATTTCAGCGCTCGCGGAAGTCGTCTTATACGCCGGCATTTACGGTAATTTCCCCCCCCCCCCAGGAATATCAGATAATGTACATAGCAATCTCCCCTTTGGTTTTTGTCACCAACATCACCAGGAGAAGCTGGATGGGCCAAAGTCATCCGGTAGCTGAATGGGGATTTCAACCACGGTTTCCAAGTTCAACAAGAGAGCCAGTATTGTTCTATTTGAATCAGAGACATCGAAGCGAGGCAGGAGTAACAAAACACAACTTCTTTATTGAGATCACAAACAGAACAGAACAGCAAACAAAATGGGGCTGGCTCTTTAATACTCCCTTTGCAGGGACAGCATCAGCCTATCAATGCAAGGCTAGTCTCCCATCTTGCACATGCTCACAAGGCTGGAGTCAGCTCGTCTGGTCCTAGGCAACTACATGGTCTGCCCGGGCCTTCTGCAGCCTCCTGAGCCTGCTGAGTCATTCAGCAGGCCCAGGACATAACAAGTATGGTCTAGTCCAGGGGTAGGCCACCATGGCTCTTTTATGAGGCGTGGACTTCAACTCCCAGAATTCCTGAGCCAGCCATGCTGAGAGGAAAGGGAGAGGTTTCCAAGCTGAGCCATTCTCAGGAATTCTGGGAGTTGAAGTCCACGAGTCATAAAAGAGCCAAGGTTGCCTACCCCTGGTCTAGTGGTTAGAAACTTGGAAACCATGAGTTCTAATTCTGCCTTAGGCATGAAAGCCAACTTAGTGACTTTGACTCAATCACCAGGAAGCAAAGAGTTCTAGTCCTGCCTTAGGCATGAAAGTCAACTGGATGACTTTGGCCCAGTCCCTCTCTCTCAATTTAACCCCCATCACAGGGTTGTCATTATTGGGAAAATAGGAGGAGGAAAGTTTGTTGGACATGTTCTCTGCCTTGAGTTATTTGTAAAAATAATAAAAGCATAATATAAATAAATAAAATTTAATAAAAAAATAAACACCTTAAGCTGTAGCAATTTGTAGCAGAATTTCTGTGGCAGCCATGGCAAAAGAGGTCATAAAATAGGGCAAAAATCACTTAACAACTGCTTTGCTTAACAATGGAAATTTTGAGCTCAACGGTGGTTGTAAGTCGAGAACTACCTGTATTCTTTTTTCTTTACTACCAAACATTTTTAATCTTTCTCACTGACGGGAAAGTTGCAGCATCTTTTCAGTTTCATACTGTTGAGTCTCTATCCAGCTCCCAGCAGGAAAAGAGATTTTGACCCAGGCTTGGATTCAATGAGCAGACCTGCTTTTGCCCCCAAATAATTCCACTGAAAAGCAAGGACATCAGCCTGGGAACCAAATGTAGGCTAGTCTGCTCTATGGTGTTCCCTGTAGCTACCTCCAGTTGTGAAAGTTATGTTTTAAAAAGCAAGACAGGAAGAAAATCGACTTGTTTGAGCCATGGTGCTGGAGAAGGCTGCTGCGAATACCTTGGACTACAAAGCTGTCGACGCTGCTAACATCTGATGTTTTTGCTTTGACAACAGATGGGGATGCAACCATTTTCTTCTTATGTTTTACTCTTAGAGTCAGATGATGCTGGAGGGAGGAATGTGCATGAGAGTTTAGCTAGACCTAATAATACTGAACCTAGTGTGTGAACCAAGGTTATTGAAATAAGAGATGATAAGAATTGGCCGGCTGGAGAACTGGAGGGGAAGCCTGCATTTCAAACTAATTGGAGAAGGTGATTTATGACTGTTAATTGGAGAAGGGAATTGTACTGTGATACTATGTGTTCTGGGGAGGGGAACCCAGTTTTTGGCTTCAACTATGTTAGTGCCGATACTATGCTTCTCAAATAAAGATTCTTTAAGGTAAACAACGCCTCAAAGTTCTTTGAAGAGTTCCATCTGTCAGAACCATGACAAAAGGTGGCTAACAAGCAAATACTGGAGTGCATAACACTAGATATGTCACTAGAAGGCAAACTCAGGAAACTGTGTCTCACTTACTTTGGCCATATCATGTGGGGGAATTTGCTGTAGAAAGGAATTATGTTGGGAAGAGTTAGCAGTAAAAGGAAACCAGACTGTCAAAGGACACTGTGGCTGGACATCATCAAAGCTGACACCTGCCAGAGCAGGGGTCTTCAAACTTGGCTCTTTTATGACTTGTGGTCTTCAACTCCCAGAATTCCTCAGCCAGCATGCCTGGCTGAAGAATTCTGGGAGTTGAAGTCCACAAGTCATAAAAGGGCCAAGTTTGAAAACCCCTGAGCCAGAGCATTGAACAATTCAAATTAGCGCAAGATAGGAAAATACAGAGAGCCCTGGCCCACAGAATATCCAAGAGTCGGTTACGGTAGAATGGATAACATATCATCATATCTTATTCTTCATTATCATCATCATAATCATCATCATCACACTTAAACCAAGTTAGGAAAAGCCCAGTTACTGCACACGCACAACATGCTATAGTTTAGCTTTAGCCACCTTTATTTTTCTGGCGGTTTAATTATTTCTATATATATTTTGCATTTCTTAATTACCCCATCTTTCTTAGAGAGGGGGTCTGGGCAGTATACAGTAGAGTCAATAAAATCAACATTCAGACCAGAATGAATTTAAGACTAACAAAGTTTTAAACTTTTAAAATGACATACAGCGTCCAGCACAAAACCGCCCAATCTGGAGAGCCTGCTGTTCAATGTACTGAAACCCAGAAAATTCAGCAATCGCGTTAAGTATGTTTTGGAAATACAAGCAGAAAATAGGACCTAAAGTCAGCTCCACAGAAATTTAAAATCTGAATGCGGTGTACTTTGGCTGAAGCCAATCTATTTCCACACTAGAAATTTATAGCATCTTTGGAGTTCTCCAAATAGTGTTGTGCCAAAATAATAGTAATGCAGCCAGGCTTTATATTACTTCAGCAATGGCTGGGTGAAGCTAGGAAGGTGCTATAAGTCACCAGTGCAGAGCTGAACTGCTAAACGTGATTCCAGGATAAGGAATAATCTCATTTAATTCTTACTAAGATATTTAATTTAATAGCTGGAATAGTAAAGTACATAATGGGCCAGAACACACAGTTACAGTTGATTGATTGGAGAATGTGGGTTTCTGCATGAATAGAATAGAATAGAGATGGAAGGGACCTTCTGCTCAAGCAGCAGAACCTATGCCATCTCAGACAGGTGACTGTCTAGCCTCTTCTTAAAAATCTCCAGTGATGGAGCATCCATGATTTCTGGAGGCAAGCTGGTCCACTGGTTAATTGTCCTGAATGTCAGGATGTTTCTCCTTAATGCCAGGTTGCTTCTCTCTTTGATCAGTTTCCAACCATTGTTTTTTGTCCCTCTGACGCTTTGCTGAATAACGTGACCCCCTCTTCTTGTTGGCAGCCCCTCAAATACTGGAACACTGCTATCATGTCTCCCCTATTTCTTCTTTTCTTTAGACTAACCAAACCCAAGTCCCGCAGCCGTTCTTCGTATGTTTTAGTCTCCAGACCTTGGATCATCTTAGTTGCTCTTCTCTGAGTTTTTTTCCAAACTCTCAACATCTTTTTTGTGATATGGTGACCAAAATTGGCTGCAGTATTCCAGATGTGGTCTTACTAGGGCTTTGTAAAGCGGTACTAGTACTTCGCATGATCTTGATTCTATGCCTGTTTATACAACCCAGGAGTGTATTAGCTTTTTTGGCTGCTGCCACACACTGCTGGTTCATAATCAAGTGATTGTCCACTAGGACTCCAAGGTCCTTCTCACAATTACTTTTTTTAAGCCAAGTCTTGCCCAATCTGTATTTGTACCTTTGGTTTTTCCTGCTGAAGTGTAAGACTTTGCTTTTCTCCAGATTGAAACTCATTTTGTTGGATAGGGCCCATTGTCCGAGGTTGTCAAGATCTTTTTGGATCCTGAGTTTGTCTTCTCGGGAGTTGGGTACTCCTGACAGTTTGGTGTCATCTGTAAATTTGATGAGTTTCCCTTCAATTCCCTCATCTAAGTCATTTATGAAGATATTGAAGAGTACTGGGCCTAAGATGGAACCTTGTGGTACCCCACTGCTTACTTCTCCCCAGGTGGATGTAATGCCATTGAGGACTACTCGTTGAGTACGGTTTGTCACCCAGCTACAGATCCATCTGGTGATGATATTGTCTATTCTACCTTTTTCTAGTTTACCAATTAGTAGGTTGTGGTCTACTTTATCAAATGCCTTACTAAAATCCAAGTAGACTACGTCCATTGCATTTTGCTGGTCTACTAGTTTAGTCACTTTATCAAAGAATGAGATAAGATTGGTTTGGTATAATTTGTTTTTAACAAACCCATGCTGGCCACTAGTTATGACTTTGCTTGCTTCTAGTTGTTCGCAGATCTGTTTTTTTATTACCTTTTCTAGGATCTTCCCAGGTATTGATGTTAAACTGATTGGTCTGTAGTTTCTTTGGTCCATTTTTTTCCCTTTCTTGAAGATGGGGACCACATCAGCCCTTTTCCAATCCTCAGGTACTTCTCCAGTGCTCCAGGATTTATGAAAGATGTGGTGCAATGGTTCTGAGATAACATCTGCTAACTCCTTTAGAACTCTGGGATGTAATCTGTCAGGTCCCGATGATTTATATTCATCAAGGTCGGATAGGAGTTCTCTTACCATCTTCTTGCTAATTTTAATTTTTGTTTCTAGTATATCTTTTGTAGTGTTTTTTGGGTTTTTTTTTTGGTATGTTGGGCTACAGTTTCTTTTTGTGTGAAGACTGACACAAAGTATGAGTTAAGCA